CAAGGCTACATTTAGACCCTACTGGGAACTCTAGCAATTGGAGGACTGGACGAAGTTGGTTTTTTCATCAGGTCCGCTCAAACTGTGTACTTCTCCAACATCGCAAGTTCCTTCGGCAGGTAAATGTCCGTGAGTCGTATACAGATATTTCTCCGAACATGTGGGGATTTCAGTTGGCACGCATTCAGTGCAGAAATCGTTATTCCATACACACTCATGGGATGAGAATGTTTTGTATGTGGCTTAGCAGGGTTTTCTTGCTTTGAGGGGTTGTGAAACAGGAGTCGAATACGGTGCGACTCGGCTGATAGATCGACCGAGTTCATAATTCGATTGTGACGAGAGAAGGTATGGTGTTTGTTTGCGCCGAATTTGAGCTTTTTTCTGTACATGGTGTTCTCTTCCCCTGCGAACAGTGTTAAAGTTGATACAAGCAGCGGAGCTTTGTTTTCAACAATACGCGGCCTGCAAATCACAGGCAATCGGTTTTTCGTCCATAGCGGCGTTCGGTTATCGACGGTTTTACCCCCATCTTTGGTAAGACGGTGTTATTATCAATTAATCAAATATATTCACACTTCTCAGACTTATATATTGCAGGTCCGGCGACAGGTACAGGCCGACGTCCCTGGAAGTGAACTGGTCGGTCAGGTACATTTTTACCAAAATAGAGGTACGTAGGTTCTCTCTTCTAAACCTGTTGTAGGAATGAAGTCTATATTGTGTGTCAGACTGAAGTTCTTACAAGGCTACATTCAGACCCTACTGGGAACTCTAGCAATTGGAGGACTGGACGAAGTTGGTTTTTTCATCAGGTCCGCTCAAACTGTGTACTTCTCCAACATCGCAAGTTCCTTCGGCAGGTAAATGTCCGTGAGTCGTATACAGATATTTCTCCGAACATGTGGGAATTTCAGTTGGCACGCATTCAGAGCAGAACTCGTTGCTGTCATTGAGTTGACCATACCGTGGATGGAAAGAACAGAAGCAGCCCATGAGAGGAAGAAAATCCAAGTATGAAGAGCTACTGGCAGAATGCAGGGAGAAAGGCTGGAAAACTTGGAACTTCCCGGTAGAGATTGGGTGTAGAGGCTTCCCAGCACCGTCTGCTTGGAGAATGCTCAGTGCACTGGGTGTTACCGGCTTCACTAGAAGAAGGGCAGTGCAGCGGCTCACCCAGGCAGCAGAGAGGGCATCCTGTTGGGTTTGGATGAAGAGGGACGAGAGTAGCTGAAGACCCACCACCGACACGCAGTGACTGATCACCACTGTGGACCCCCTCCCCCCATACTGAGTGTATCGAGTAAGGGGTCGAAACACGCGATGAAGGATGGCCTCGGCTGAGGACGTCGGCGGTGTAGCAGCAATTCCATCTAGCTGGTTGTACGTACCAGAACTGAGGTAAAGATAATTAACAAACCAGTTCTTGAGACAATGATGAATGGTAACTCTTTCCTACACCAGGGAAGATCTGAAAAAGATCCAAGGACATAAGAACCTATAACTGACCACCTTAGGCCGGAGGATCTCGACTGAAGGAAAGATTGTGAATATGACAATGATATACCCCTTGTATAGACTACTGATATTAACACCCGTGGTGTAATTTGATGTAACACAAGTAAAAATGATGCTGCAGAAATATATTTGAATTAATGTGATTGTAATTATTGTAGGTGAAATAAAATGTCCGGTGGAAGGACTGAAATCTCAAATCCCGTGTCGGCGAGTCACACTTGGCACGTTAAATAGAACAGGCTAGTTAGGTATATAATAGTTGTAGTGGTAGGTTAGGAATTCTGTGACACTCCAAATAATATATATTTTTTTCTCCCTTTCTTAAAGACAAATTGTTTTGGGCTCCAATCTTTGTAATAAAACAAAATCGGTTATATCATTTCTGTGAGAAATTGTAAAGCACTAAAATTAAGCAATGGCAGTTTGCCTATAATTTTGCCTCTCCTTCTAATAAAAAAATCTTCTGTATTTGTTTGGGTTTGCATGAAACTGAAATGATATCCATGTTTGCTACTAAAAAAGCATGCCATGTAGTAAAACTTTTGAAATTAATAAATCAAAAATAGTACCGGTTATATCTCTGTCTTCGACATTGCGTAAGCAGTGAAATAGATTGAATTCAACGTGATCAATGTCACAATGTCATAGGTCAAATAATGGCAAATGTTTTATTTCTTTAAAACTTTAGAATACTTACAATGTTATAGATAATTACAGAATTATTTGGGCAGCAAATGTGATAAAAAAAACTCGCATCAAGTACAGGCATATGCTGCACTGCAATCGGGTTTCAGTAAAAGGAAAATTAGGAACCCAATTTACAAATGCAAAAAAAGTTCTGAAATATTTGTTAAATTCATATTGAGATAAGAATAGAATATTATTTATTTTAGAACAGATTAGATGAATAAAACTTTTTTTTTTAATGTTGCTTTTTTTTGCTAGCTTAAAGTAGTGGTCCTTTAATGAGGAGGCCTCCACGTGGCAAGGACTGGAAACAGCTTACACTCATTATTGTTAGTAGGCTGGCTGACATCCTCATGCAATATGTTGAATTTTAGGAACAATTATAAATCATGCTTTTTATTTATTTTCAAAAGTTTTGCATGATACATAAGAAAAACAAGAAATGACATGCATACCAACATTCACGCATCATCATCATCATCATCATCATCATCATCATCATCATCATCATCATCATCCTCAATCAATTCATCATCATCATTCTCCATCCATTCATCATCATCCATCAATCCATTATCCTTAATCAATCCATCATCATCCTCATCCTCAATCAATCCATTATCCTCCATCCATTCATCATCATCATCATCATCATCATCATCATCATCATCATCATCCTGAATGTCCATTGGTTCTATAAAGTTAGATATATCATTTCCAGCATCACAACAATGTAAGTAGTTTCTATAGACATGAAATATTGGGATACATTTCACCCGAGGATGAATTGCTTCATACATCGAACACCAGACTGATAAGTTGCAGTTGAGAAAGGAATTAAATTAGCTGGTTTTTCATGCTGTTGGTCTAAATAGAATGAAACGACACCAAAATGGTATACTCTTTACTTTGAATTTCAGGTAATGTTTTCAATAGTAGATATTTCTGCTTCAGGAATCATGGTTTTATTTCAGGAATTACATCCTTTACCAACAATCAATACACACAGCATTCATCATACATATTTCGATAGTTTTAACAAGAGGCCCATAGGACATGTATCACTCACCTGGCTATATAATATGCCTACAGGTTGGATACTTGAATTATTTCCCATAGAGGTTAATTCTTATATTGTAACTGTCTTTCTCTTTTAATGCCCAGTAAAAGTTTATAGTTATTGGGCTGGGATCTCAACTGTTTTAAAGATAAGAAACAAGAAAGTAAGTCCCTAGAGGTGTGCCACATCCAAGGGTCAGTTCTTACATCATGAATGTATTATATCACTTGATGCCAAGCAATTAGATATATGGTTATGGGTTGGGATTTAAAACTGTTTCAAAGATATAACCCTGAAACTAAGTACCGATGGGTGGGGCCAGACCTAAGTGCTATTTCATGATTGTGTTTATGTTACACAATAAGGTATTGATATTTATATATCAATTTATTCAACTTATTGTAGGATTAGTATCGGGAAGTAGGACACTGTAGCTAAGTCATGGTTCTGTAGTAGATCAATTAAATAGGCTAATTATTATTGGTGATAGGCGAGGAGTGCAGTAGCTCAGGGTTTGTAGAGCATGTGGTGTAAATTATACTATCAGGCGGAACGGGCGTAGCTTCCTTGATAATCAAACTTATGCAATTGCCCATTCGGACAGTGACCACTAGGTGTTAAGAGTAATTATCAAGGGCTATTTCCAGTAACAAACTAAGTAGGGGGAATCTCAACCTCGCACCTCGAGCATGGATGGTTATACTTCAACAATCAAATCAGCTTGCAACAAGTGAAGTCCATATAAGGGGATCGCGGGACATAATCGGTCAAGATGAGATAAATAGAAGCTAGATTCTGGGGATAGGACAGAAGGGGTTTGGACACCCGACTGCACGGTCATAGATGGCTTAGAGAAGGGATTGGGACACCCCAATAGATGGGCCCTAGGTAGCCCACCAGACAAGCTCCCATACAGGTTATACCATGATGGCTTGTATAAGGAGTGGTTATGTTAGTATATACCTAGAAGTACTGTTTTTATGCAAGGACAGTTTTGATACAGAGACTGTTTTATGAGACACAATGCGAAGTGGAGTGAATATATGTGTATGTTGATGAGATGTTGCCTTTGTACATGACTATTAACATCTAAATAGACATGACTATTACCAACAGTTATGTGTTACGCCACTGTGTTACAGTTTATCGCTTGATGCCCATCAATGCTATGTGCATATGGTCATGGGAGCAGAATTTTGACTGTTTCAGAATTTAAGAATTAAACCTCACCCCAAATAATATTTCAGACCTAATTTGGTTGAAATCTTGGGTTTTAAGCAGGAGTCGTGTTTTAAAGGAAAAGTTTACACATGGCAATTGACAATGCACGATAGCAATAGGTCATCTGTACCCTTTGGGTAAATATAAATTATTAAGTATTGTCTAAATATAATTATAGTCACTATGATAGTAAGATTCTCTTCCAATTAATTTTCCACGAAACCTAGGTAACTTGCAATCATCAATAATAATGACATTTTGGAAACATTTACTTCACAAATTCCTTACAAAATTCTGCTTCACATTAAATAAAACACTATAAATTTCCACGTATAGTGCACACCTTTTCTTAGTTTAAAGTGTTTTGTCGAAAAGGGGGTGCATACTCCACAGGAATATGCCATTCTTAGGGTTATTCTCGAGTTCTCTGATCCGCCATATTGGACTACCCCCTTCACCCAGTTAGAGGCATCTGTCATATATGATAGACTGAAGATAAAAACAAAGAATAAAACAAATTTTGAATGTTTTAATGCAAATAAGTTTCATTATTATTTATATAAAGCTAAGTAACAAAAAGTTTTAAATTTTATCAGAACAGGTTCAATAGTACTTACGACTTGCACAAATGGAACAGTAGACCGATAAATCCATACAGCACCAAGTAATTATAAGCAGTTTTTAGTACTGAAGTCGCTTAACACAGTCACAGATCACTTAACAAAAATCCTTCAAATTCCTCATCATCGTCACTGTTAAAGAAGGATGCCACATCAAAGTTTGCCTCTATAGTATTTTCATTGTCGTGTTAAAAGAGGTCGTCATCCATCATCCTCCAAGTCAACATCAATGGTGGGTCCACTATCATGGGTCATCTGTTCACAGAACGTCCAATCCCATTGCTGCTTTGAAAGTGGTGACCTTATGACCTCTCTGAATCTGCATCTGTAAAACAATTTCATCTCACATTCATTTATTAGATATTTGACTAAAAACTTAAGTATTTTTATCTTAACAACATAAATCAAATGAACTTCTACCATATATGACGGTAAGATGGAATTTGTTTTTCTTATGTTGGGAACATCAAAAAAGCCTCGAGAAAATTTCTAATAAGCTAAGGTATTTCTTTATGCATGTACAGACCATCCTGCAAAAGATACCAGTATTCCTGTAACCAAACCTGCCAATGTTCTAGAGGTAAGCTATCAATGGTTTCCTGTACTTTATCTATTAAATACAAATGAATACAATAACCAATGATAAGAAAAGTATGTACATGTGTATATCATATGTGTATATCAAGATCAAAAGGTATTACCCTGCATCTTCGCAAAAACGTACATTAAAATTCCATATAATAGCAAAAATATCAAAGGAGATATACAATGTTTCAAAATATACAGAGAGAGTGTGAAGCATCATGAATGTCTACCAAAAGCATAATTACCTATCAATGGTTTGTTTAGACATCAGGATAATACAGCATTGTTTTAACTGAAAATTTTTTACACAGGACACCTTAAATGTTGGAGAAAACTATATTTGAATATGTTAAATTAGTTTTTTGAACATGGATCTTTTGTTTTGATAATCTGTGGAATCCTCGGGTATGCTGCATTTGTTCAAATGCACAATCTATGCATTCTAACATACCATCAGCACATCAATTATGTCAGGCTAGTGTGAATCAGATGTGGGATAAATATGATTAAGCTTTATTTGACTCCTGTATGCTGAAGATGACCCTGGGGCCATGAAATTCACAACTTTGGTAAGCACTTTAAGATGCTTTCAGTTATGAAAAGTGTTTGATTCTACAATACCTGGGTGCTGAGAAGAAGACTTTAGAAATCGGAGTCAATTTGACCCCACCCTTCAGGGCCCTGTAGGATAGGGACTGTATAATTCACAATTTTTGTTCATCTTAGGCCAGGAAAGGTTACTGCAAAGGTGATAGCAATAGGTCACCACGAGGCCCAATAATTCAAATGACCTAACTAAAGGGAATCTAGATATAAGTAAGAGAAATATCCCTATATTACTTCAAAAAATGATAGCAAGGATTGTTTATGGATGAACAGACCTGAGATTAAGGGCAATTTTAACAGCTCACTATCTAATGATGGGCTAGAAATGTCTAAATGTTTACACCTGAAGCCTGAGGAACATCATTTAGACAAGATCATAAAATATGACAACAGTGTCTGCAATGACTTGATATTTAATACAAACATACTTTAACACTTTAACTGTCTGCTATGCAAATCATACTGAAGACTGAACTTGTTTCAGGGCTCTCGATCTGCCAGATTTGGGGCCAATAGTCGGCCCCATTCCCAGTGCAAAATAGTATCTTTTTTCCCAATTATAAGGAAAACGCCATTATTTTTCCCAATTCTAAGGGCCCCGGGCCCCAGTCCCAAAATGGGGTGTGAGAGCCCTGTGTTTTAGCTGGATCCAAATAGCTGTCCATCTGTGTAACTGGTGTGCTGAAGACCATGATGATGGGATCAAAATAGAGTGATTTGATCACAGGGTCATGTGTTGTCCATTGTCTACCTGAAAAAGAGACAAGTGAATCATAAACAACATTAAAAATCAAAACAGATAGTACTGATTGAGAATATAAATAAAACAAATTGCTTGAATAACCGTGTAACTATATATTTACCTTTGATATTACCAAATGCATTAGAGATTACATTAATTTTTGCTTAACAACAATGATCTGATCACAGCAGCTGCACTGTACAGTAAGTAGTACACTAAGAACAAAGGTCCCATAGGCCTGTATTACTCACCTGGATCTTAAAGCCCAGTAATGGTACACATGCCTTTAGGTTGGGTATTTCAAATATTTCTAAATTAAAACTCAATCAATTAAACCCTTTCATGTCGAAAGACCAATGAGTAAATTCTTGTATCATTACTGTCTTTCTCTTTTGATGCCAAGTAAGAGTTTATATGGTTATTGGGTTGGTATCTTGGCTATGTCAAAAATATGACCCAGAAATAATGTCCCTAAAGGTGTGCCATACTTAAGAGGACATTCTTGCATAACAAATGTGTTGATCTCTTGATATCAATAAATTCTATATATATAATGTTATGAGGGAGATTTCCACCATTTTAAAGGTATAACCTAAAAATTAAGTTCAGAGTTCTTCATCATAAATGTGTTTATCTCTTAATGCCCAACATGGTATCTATAGATATGGGATGGGGATCTCAACTGTTTCAATAATATAACACAGAATCTGTCTCAAGGTGTGGAGCCAGGCCCAAGGGCCAATTTTAAATGACTTACTGAATCAAAACATAGGAAATCGAGCAATAATAAGATAGCCCTCTGACAGCCATTTTGTATAACTGATGAGATAAAATAAATGACTTATGATGTATTTTACAAATCTTCAATGAAATGAAAATGAAATGAAATGTTTCATCACTAACTTGCTTATTTTGCAAGTATATGTAAAAATATAAGTGAAAATATCACAATAAAATGACATTTTTGCTCTTTTGCCAATATTCTGTTTTAATTGACAGAAAAATTTCAGAACATACCAGTAAATACATAGAGAGAATTCAAGCTCCATGTAGATCTGAATTATGGGAAAACTTAAAAATGGCATATGACATTATATACTTGGTTAGAACTTAAGCTCAATGTGGAGTTAAACAACTCTAAACATGGCGCAAGTTATCAATTTAAGTCCAGTTAACAGAAGTAAACTGCAGGTGGAAATAAGAATTTAAACTGTTTGTTGGAATGGCCATACAGAGATATAAAAACATTCCAAACTTGGTTTATGACGACAACTTATAAAGTTCCAAGCTAACCAGAAATTTAACATGCTGCAATTAATCAATAAATTCAAGTTAACTGTATTTAAACTGTATGTGAAATCTGTTTGGTTATTATAGATATTCTGTTTTGTTATGATTGGTTTTTGTATTTGATGAGAAATTAACACTGATGTGGAGTGTTACACAAAAACTGAAGATTTTTCTAATTATATTGACATTTCAATTATCTTAACCATCTGACACATGTTTTCAGAGTATGATTTAGATGTGTGAAAACTGCTTCTGACTTTTAACTAAAAGGTATAGAAATTATTTTATGGATCCAAATATGCACTAAAAATATCTCATTTAAACTAAATTTAGAAACAGATTGGTCATGTCAACAATAATTCAAGTTGTTTTCCTATATTATCTACAGTAATTTTATCTTTAAATGTACGCAAGGCAGCCAGGACCTCGTATATGCAGTCAACTATACAACCACTTCTCCAAAGAAATTTGGATACTGTGGTGCCACAGATCAACTCATCATTATCATTCAATTGCCTTATATGCGAGGATCCTACAACTGCTATCCTAACCATATTTTCAGAACAAAATCTGCTTTTGAATTGGCTTAACAAACGAGAAATAGAATGTTTTACGTACCCACGTGCTTGTAGACCGGCGTGAAAAGAAGTTTCAAACTTTCGAAATACTTTAATTTCGTTCGGGGAGTATGTCTCGGGATCATAGCAGTTACTTTTAAGGTACGTTTATACCAGGTTTCTGCAGTGTTCTGATAGGCAGGCTTGAAATTTACGTTATTTGTATGATTAAAATGGTAACCGCATGTGGCATTAAGTGAAAAAAGTATTAAGTATTGTAAACTGTATAGTACATTTTAGTGGAAAAAATACGAAACTAAATAATAATACTAAAAGCTGACTAAAAAATTCAGAGCTGCACAATGACACATTCGAAGTATAGTATATATCACTCCGCGTATTTCAGTTTCCAGCAAACCTGCACTTTTTCTTATATTCTTTTTCTTTATTTCAAGTAAGATAACAAGTATTCAGAACTATGCCCAAAAATGCGATACGCTGAATATAAAACAGTAGTATTGCACCTCTTATTACTTTATGAATCATTAAAAAATCAAGAACTTATTTTTCAGTATATGTGGCACACCGGAAGAAGATAAGTCCGCCAATTTTTGTTGTCCTTGGATACAGGCTGTTCTGTGCAGGTGCCCCATGAGAGTCTAAGTTGGAAAGTGATTTCCGACAATTCATTTTACCAAACCGTAGAAAACAACCGACAAGATACCACGCAAAAAAGACTCGTACATTCGTGTCCGTAGTGGCAAGATGACTACGGATGATGCGAAATCCTATCTGTCAAAAAGACAGATCCCTCGACTCTTTGAGGTGAGTCTCGCTTTTTTGTTGACAAATGTTGTTTTCTTCTGATTCCATGGAGCGCAATGTCAGAAGTTAATAAGGCGATAATATTAAGTGTCTGTTTTCTTCCAATAAACGAAGAATTTACCACATTTTATGAAAATAACAGATACTGGATGTTGTCAAACTACGACAAAGATGTAGGCCCAGTACAATGTATCACGATTTAAGGCGATTAAAAAAATTAATCTTATTTAAGAAATCTAACACGACCTTTACATGTTGTGTAATAGTAACAATGATAAGTCATGACATTGAAAAGCAGTTATAAGTATTCAGGTGGCAAAGAAACACAGACAAAATTTAAATGATAATTTAAACGAAATGCTGAACAATATTGATAGATAAAATCAGCTTTGACAAAATAATAAGTGTTGGGTCAGTCAACAATGTATGGTATACCTCAGCTGGTGAAGCTTTAATTCCAAATTCCTTGAATTACTGGTATCAGCCTTCTCAAGCTGTAGAGACCAACAGAAGGCTCTTCAATTTGTTCACACTGTAGCTGAGACTCATCAAAGCTACACATTCTAAATCAAGTTAAGACAAGAAGAAAAAAATCACACCATCCTCCTTCTCTTTCTCTGTTGTAATGTTCATTTTAATTTTAGGACTCTCTCTACTGTAACTGTTACAGTTAATTGTCCTCTCACTGCTGTAACTATCATTAAATAGAACTGTCCTCTCTCTCTGTACTGTAATTATCTTTGTATAGGACTGTCCTGTCTGCTGTAACTATTATTACTGTTCTGTTTCTATTGTAGCAATCATTATATAGGACTGTCCTATCTCTACTGTGACTATCTTTGTATAGAATTGTCCTATCTCTGCTGTAACTATTATTGTATAGAACTTTCCACTCTCTCTGTACTGTAACAAACGTTGTATAGAACCGTCCCCTCTCTACTGTAACAATCATTGTATAGAACCGTCCCCTCTCTACTGTAACAATCGTTGTATAGAACCGTCCTCTCTCTATAGTAACAATCATTGTATAGAACCGTCTCCTCTCTACTGTAACAATCATTGTATAGAACTGTCCTCTCTCTACTGTAACAATCATTGTATAGAACCGTTCTCTCTCTACTGTAACAATCATTGTATAGAACCGTCCCCTCTCTACTGTAATAATCATTGTATAGAACCGTCTTCTCTCTACTGTAACAATCATTGCATAGAACTGTCCCCTCTCTACTGTAACAATCATTGTATAGAACCGTTCTCTCTCTACTGTAACAATCATTGTATAGAACCGTCCCCTCTCTACTGTAACAATCATTGTATAGAACCGTCTTCTCTCAACTGTAACAATCATTGTATAGAACTGTCCCCTCTCTACTGTAACAATCATTGTACAGAACCGTCCTCTCTCTACTGTAACAATCATTGTATAGAACTGTCCTCTCTCTATAGTAACAATCATTGTATAGAACCGTCCTCTCTCTACTGTAACAATCAATGTATAGAACCGTCCTCTCTCTACTGTAACAATCATTGTATAGAACCGTCCTCTCTCTATAGTAACAATCATTGTATAGAACCGTCCTCTCTCTACTGTAACAATCATTGTATAGAACCGTCCCCTCTCTACTGTAACAATCATTGTATAGAACCGTCCTCTCTCTACTGTAACAATCATTGTTCAGAACTCTCCTAACTTCATTGTGTGGAAGTATACTGGAATCAGGTTGTTTGTCCATCTGTAGATGCAACAATATGCTGACTAGTCGACCTAAACCACTGAATTGATTTAAACAATGTCTGCTGGTTATAATCCTTATACAATGTAGATGTACATAATGTGTACGAGGTTGAGTCACCTTTTTTGGGAAAGTTATACCCCCTTTGGGACTGTAATGATTTCCAGCTACTCCTCATATATACTAATGAGTGGATTTCAATGAAATACACTGGCTTTAATCTTTAAACATGACAGATATTTTTAATCTATAACAGGTTGCGTTATCTCCCCTTTATGGAAGTGTATGCCCCCTTTGGATTGAGTTATCCCCCCCTTTTCAGAAGCTTGCACTCCTTTGGGAACTCAGTGATGTACCAGTTACTCCTAAAACTACTTAATTGATTTCAATGAAATTTGATGGCAATACTCCTTGTACATTGTAGCTATGTGTATCCTATACCAGGTTTAGTTGTTTCTCTTTTTCACAAAGTTATGCCACTTTGAAATATTTTTGACATTTCTAAAAGACTTTTTAACATGACATTGCAAATATTTTATGTTATTGGGTGATAAAATAAAAAAATTAGCTAATGAAGGGTAAGAGTTGGCCCCCAGAGGTCAGATCTAATTTTCTCTACTGTCTATACTCAGTATTGTTGGTGTAGTACATAAATGCAAGTGTTTCGGGTATGGGAAGATAAGGAGTTCATTTGAGAAACACTTGCTGTTCTAAAATGACCAAAAATGCATTAGATATATGGGTGCATGGGTGTCATTCTTTGGGATAATTAATCATAACTTGCTGAACCTTAAGTACTGTAAATTTTTAATTGTAGTCGTTGATGACTGGTTTGATGTACCATCGACCAACAGACCACATCAAATACCTGATAGATTGTCTTCAGAAGGTTCAGGAAAAGGGAGGAAACAACATCACATGGAGTGCCTTTGTAGACATACGGCGAACCAAGACACCACTTCCCCCTATCACACCTCCAGACGGAAAGAAGAGACGGTCTAGACCATCATCTAGACAGAAGGAGCCATCCAAGATAGGTAATTCTCACCCTAGTTCTTGTGATCACATGCCTCTTATGGGCAATAATTGTTTTCCTTATACTGCCGATATATTCAAATATTTCAAGTAATGTTTAAAAGGACAAATCGCAACATTTAAAAATTGATAAAATTGTAGTTCAATTAGATGAGAACATTGTGTATCATTTAAATATGTTAACATAAAACACCAACAAGGCAAATAAACTTGATTATTGCTAACGTTTTCAAGCCGTGTCTCGGCTATCTTTACTGTCTTGGTAACAACATTATGACGTAATATAAACAATGATATATAAGGGGAGATAATAATGTTATTAATATTTTTAAGGCGTAACGACACTAATTAATTAGCATTTAGTGGGTGCTTGAAGAGTTTGACAAACATGTCCTCTTTGCATAGTCTCTTTGTTGTACTTGAATCGGACATCTTATGGAAAGGGTACACCCAGAACAGTCCCTTGCCACAAGTTTCTAAATGTGTTCTGAGTGGAATTTTACGAGTTGCGGGTGTACGTATCTGTTGCCTATGGACGCGAATTCTTTCTGATAGTGCATTACCCATTTGTCCAATATAGTTTTCATGGCAAGTAGCGCAGATAATACAATAAATAAAATTCTTGCTTTTGCAAGTCAAGTCACTGTTTGCCTTAATTGTTTTGCCGTTTTTTAAAGTTAAACAGTGTCCTTCTTGTATGTACTGGCAGGTTCCACACCTCGTTTTCCTGCATTTCGACACTGTGTAGTCGCACTGTTCTGCAACGTTGAACTTTGCCCTAGTCAAAATTTTCTTTAGGTTTTCAGGTTGCCAGTTGCTTTGTAAAATATTTGATACTTTAACTAAATTGTGCATTTTTGAACTTTTGTGTAATGGAGGAATTGAGTCCTTTGCTGCTTTCACCATGTTGTTGTGGCATGGGTTATGTGTCAGTACAAAAGGTATAGTGTTTACGTCTGACGGTGTGACTTCAATTTTTCTAAGTTCCTCTACCGGTACAGCGTCGGCGCGTTCAATGCTCCTCGTTATTAACTCGGATGGATAATGTTGTTTTATCAGAAACGTTTGAAGTTCATTCAGCCTCTGTTTGCATTTACCGCTGTCTATCACAATTGCACATACACACCTTGCTTAGCAGAACGGTATGTTTCTTTTTGTATGTGTTGGATGACAGGACCGGAAGTCTAGATACTGGTGTGTGTCTGTCGGCTTCTAGTAAATATCAGTTGTGATATACTTGCCAGACTTTTGTACAAAGACATCTAGGAATGGTAATTCCGAGTCGTTATATTCCATGGTAAACTGGATAGATGGGTTGATGCTGTTCAAGATGTTCTGGAATCTAGATAGATCATCTTTGGTCTTGGTCCATATGATCCAAGTACCTTTTCCAACATCTCCGTATATACTGACTGAATGATTCACTATAGCTTGTCCGCAAATTGTCATGTAACTGTTGTAACTGGGTGTACCCTTTCCAGAAGATGTCCGTTTCAAGTACAACATATATACATAGATATATATAGATAGTTGAAAAAAGTCAAATCAACACGACAAATGTATATATATCTATATACAGGTCAAGAGTACTTTTGGTTGGATGATGGAACAGGTACAGTTTGATGTGAAAACTACCTATGTGCTGTAACTTGCCACAATTGTCTTTATTTTCACTGACCTGTGTGTATATTGTACACCTTGGACTCTTACCGGATGAATTCCTAACATTAATCACAAACATTTTTGTGAATCACCTTTAGTCCTATAACAAATATGTTATCTATATTACAATACAGTAACATGATTGACATGGAAATATATGTTAAAGTTTGATGAAACAACTTTTAAGGCCACCTGAGACAAAGACTCATCGTGACCAGTTGCAGTCACTTTTCATCCAGCATCATATGCTGTGCATTGTCTGTCATGCATTTTTTCTAAATTCTTCTGAAAAACAAATCCCTGAACAAATATCAATGAGATATTGCAGAAACCTTCCGTGGCCAAAGGTTAACTAAAACAGGGGCTGGATGGGTGGGGCGTAGTTTGATTGAGTTTGCTTCCAAAAAATCTTCTTTTCAAGATCCATTTATGGTAGAATCAATACATGTCATGTATGGAAGGGTCTTATTAAACATACTTTGCCAAAATTATGAGTAAGATGACTGCGGGTCTCACATTTTTTTTTCTTGGGTAAGAGGTAAAATTTAGTTATTTATCAAAGAAAACATAAATTGAACATAATTTCTTGTAATCAAACATGGTTAGAATCCTTAACATGGGGTAGCTGTTAATGTTATGCATAGTTTACACAAGTTATCATACTTTGTTAACAAAATCATTTCTATGACAAATGTTGCAACAACAGCATCTATAGAACGCAGGGGACCATTAAGGACCTTGGGCCTCGTGTTTTAAAGCAAATATGAGCTGGTGAGGCCATTGACTATAGTACATCATGTATTATCAAGTGCATAGAGTTAACATCTGTTACGTTCATTTCAGGTCCATTGAATAAGTAACAGAGTATGTTGTTACAATAAGATACATATAACTGCACACATCGTCCATTAAAACCCAGAGAGAAAGTTGAAATAATTTTTTTTTTGTAAAATCCAATTTAATTAGAACCAGCGAGCATAATTTCCCCAAAGTTAGCTCAGGGGCTGATAGTGAGCATTTACTGAGCTTTATAGCTCTTGTATGATGTAGTTTATACAAATAAATTTAAACCACAAAGATTTATGAAAAATTTCACCTAGTATATTTTTACAACTCCTAAATGACCATCATCAGTTTGATGAATACCATAAACATGACACATGTTCTATATTGAGTCATACAGCTAGACACATCATTTACATCAAATTTATTGATGCATGAAATATGATTTAAAGTCCACCATCTTTTTCATAAATACTGCTTGAACATGTATTTTAAAATTGAAACCGTTCTGTGAATTGTAGTGTATTGATTATGTTAGATGGTGTCGTCATGGTAACGACTTGCTGATCGGTCCAAGTAATTACCAATAATTACATTTGTATGTAATTCACTCGAGCTAAACTCTCAGATATTTTCTAATGAATATTGTTCCATGTATTTTGCCATTATTACCCGATACAGGACGCTAATAAAGAACCAACAGCGGGAGCTTTAAGTTGTTAATGAGGTTTGAAATCAATACCAGAACACCATGGTGTTTGTTTGGATGTTACTTTGAGATTTACCTGAGCTAGCTATATATAGCACACTGCTGGGTGTTATTCTCTCACAAAGTAATCAGGTCAGTGTACATAGCATCCCTAACATTAACCATTTAGAGCTGCTCAGGAGTAAACCTCCATTACACAGTATATCACAAGGGTTCACTACACAATAGCCCTCTGGTGATGACCATCAGAGTTAACCTCCACTACACAATAGTCTTCTGGTGATGACCATCAGAGTTAACCTCCACTACACAATAGTCCTCTGGTGATGACCATCAGAGACCTCCACTACACAGTAGTCCTCTGGTGATGACCATCAGAATTAACCTCCACTACACAATAGTCCTCTGGTGAAGACCATCAGAATTAACCTCCACTACACAATAGTCCACTGGTGATGACCATCAGACTTAACCTCCACTACACAATAGTCCTCTGGTGAAGACCATCAGACTTAACCTCCACTACACAATAGTCCTCTGGTGAAGACCACCAGACTTAACCTCCACTACACAATAGTCCTCTGGTGAAGACCATCAGACTTAACCTCCACTACACAATAGTCCTCTGGTGATGACCATCAGAGTTAACCTCCACTACACAATAGTCCTCTGGTGATGACCATCAGAGTTAACCTCCACTACACAATAGTCCTCTGGTGATGACCATCAGAGTTAACCTCCACTACACAATAGTCCTCTGGTGATGACCATCAGACTTAACCTCCACTACACAATAGTCCTCTGGTGATGACCATCAGAGTTAACCTCCACTACACAATAGTCCACTGGTGATGACCATCAGACTTAACCTCCACTACACAATAGTCCTCTGGTGAAGACCATCAGACTTAACCTCCACTACACAATAGTCCTCTGGTGAAGACCATCAGAGATAACCTCCACTACACAATAGTCCTCTGGTGAAGACCATCAGAGTTAACCTCCACTACACAATAGTCCTCTGGTGATGACCATCAGAGACCTCCACTACACAATAGTCCTCTGGTGAAGACCATCAGACTTAACCTCCACTACACAATAGTCCTCTGGTGAAGACCATCAGACTTAACCTCCACTACACAATAGTCCTCTGGTGAAGACCATCAGAGACCTCCACTACACAATAGTCCTCTGGTGATGACCATCAGAATTAACCTCCACTACACAATAGTCCTCTGGTGATGACCATCAGACTTAACCTCCACTACACAATAGTCCTCTGGTGATGACCATCAGACTTAACCTCCACTACACAATAGTCCTCTGGTGAAGACCATCAGACTTAACCTCCACTACACAATAGTCCTCTGGTGATGACCATCAGACTTAACCTCCACTACACAATAGTCCTCTGGTGATGACCATCAGAATTAACCTCCACTACACAATAGTCCTCTGGTGATGACCATCAGAATTAACCTCCACTACACAATAGTCCTCTGGTGATGACCATCAGAATTAACCTCCACTACACAATAGTCCTCTGGTGATGACCATCAGACTTAACCTCCACTACACAATAGTCCTCTGGTGATGACCATCAGAGTTAACCTCCACTACACAATAGTCCTCTGGTGATGACCATCAGAGACCTCCACTACACAATAGTCCTCTGGTGATGACCATCAGACTTAACCTCCACTACACAATAGTCCTCTGGTGATGACCATCAGACTTAACCTCCACTACACAATAGTCCTCTGGTGATGACCATCAGACTTAACCTCCACTACACAATAGTCCTCTGGTGAAGACCATCAGAGTTAACCTCCACTACACAATAGTCCTCTGGTGAAGACCATCAGACTTAACCTCCACTACACAATAGTCCTCTGGTGATGACCATCAGACTTAACCTCCACTACACAATAGTCCTCTGGTGATGACCATCAGAGTTAACCTCCACTACACAATAGTCCTCTGGTGATGACCATCAGAGTTAACCTCCACTACACAATAGTCCTCTGGTGAAGACCATCAGAGACCTCCACTACACAATAGTCCTCTGGTGAAGACCATCAGAGTTAACCTCCACTACACAATAGTCCTCTGGTGAAGACCATCAGAGTTAACCTCCACTACACAATAGTCCTCTGGTGAAGACCACCAGACTTAACTTCCACTACACAGTAGTCCTCTGGTGAAGACCATCAGAGACCTCCACTACACAATAGTCCTCTGGTGAAGACCATCAGAGTTAACCTCCACTACACAATAGTCCTCTGGTGAAGACCATCAGAGACCTCCACTACACAATAGTCCTCTGGTGAAGACCATCAGACTTAACCTCCACTACACAATAGTCCTCTGGTGAAGACCATCAGACTTAACCTCCACTACACAATAGTCCTCTGGTGAAGACCATCAGAGTTAACCTCCACTACACAATAGTCCTCTGGTGAAGACCATCAGACTTAACCTCCACTACACAATAGTCCTCTGGTGAAGACCATCAGAGTTAACCTCCACTACACAATAGTCCTCTGGTGAAGACCATCAGACTTAACCTCCACTACACAATAGTCCTCTGGTGATGACCATCAGACTTAACCTCCACTACACAATAGTCCTCTGGTGATGACCATCAGAGTTAACCTCCACTACACAATAGTCCTCTGGTGATGACCATCAGAGTTAACCTCCACTACACAGTAGTCCTCTGGTGATGACCATCAGACTTAACCTCCACTACACAATAGTCCTCTGATGAAGACCATCAGAGTTAACCTCCACTACACAATAAGTTTCTGTTGAAGACCACCATTTTTTTACCTGTCTCTGAGGAAATTGTATTGATATTCTTTCAAGACTAATTATTGTCAGTAAAAATTTACAGGATTGATCAGTCATGTTATCTATGACTGATTACAAGAATGTTTTGTCATATTTAGTTAAAAAAAAGTCTCTGAAACTACACCCAAAATTTTATGGTTAATATACCATAAAAAATGTTTGTGACATTGTATACTATTAACTAAACATTCAAGGGGAGTAACTCTCTTCAGCCTGCATATTCACATACATTTTCAAATAACAATAATAGTGACGCAGAATTGTTTTCCTCTTACAGAGAAGCAGCAGAGTTTTGAGGAGAAGAAAGCATCACCCTTACCACCCATCACTAAGAATGTTGATGATGTGCCTGATGTTCCTATCACACTTATTATAGGTAGGTAATCTGTCAGTTGTGACAGGACTAGAACAAATACTTATCATCTCAAATATCAATAATGAGAATGTAAGTTTTAGTGTTAATCTTGTACTCCCTTAAAGTCCTGTAGAATCTGATAGTATAATATACCTTAAACCCGGTAATCAAACCTTCAATAATGATTACCTTAAGTCCTAATAGTCTCAGGGATGATATCTGTTATTGGTGGACATGATACCTGATAAATTACCTACATATGTGTCCACTTTGCCTCTACGAAGTACTAACAGCTTATTTGTCGATGAGACTGTAAATGATACTGGTCTACATGTATGGTGATGTCACCAGGCTTTTGTCAGTGTTCAATTTTTAGGCTGTTCCCATAACTGGCTTTACTCCATGGCTTGTAGCTTTTCTCACTTTAAAACCACATACCTATTCAATATTGTATTGAAGATAATGTAGAGATATATGATACAGTGTTTTCCTCTGGACTACCTTCCATGATAACCACTTGGTTTAATAATCAACTGACCAAGTAATAGCTGTCTAATTTGGATGATGCACTATATATCATTACTCCTTTGTTGATTCTCTGATACCCCTAGTTGTAACCCCTAATTACTGATACCCCTAGTTGTAACCCCTAATTACTGATACCCCTAGTTGTAATCCCTAATTACTGATACCCCTATTTGTATCCCCTAATTACTGATACCCCTAGTTGTAACCCCTAATTACTGATACCCCTAGTTGTTACCCCTAATTACTGATACCCCTAGTTGTAACCCCTAATTACTGATACCCCTAGTTGTAACCCCTAATTACTGATACCCCTAGTTGTAATCCCTAATTACTGATACCCCTATTTGTATCCCCTAAATACTGATACTCTTAGCAGAAACTTCTAATTAATGGCTTTTCTGTAATGACAGGTGGCCCAGGCAGTGGAAAACTCACTCAAGTTAAGTTGTTACAGCAGACATACCCAGGATGGGTACATCTGTCCATGGGAGACCTCCTGAGGGCACAGATCACTGAAAAGGGATCGGCAGAGGACAAGTGGGATATGATTGGAGATCTTGTCAATAGAGGAGAGATGGCTCCAGAGGTAAAGGGTTAGGGTGAAATTCATTACAATGTTAGACAATAGAGTCTCCTTACTCATCACACTTTTTAAAGGAAATCTTCAGTTGAAGGATTGCTTCTTTTTTATGATTCAAACAAATATTAGAAATAATAAAGAAAAAAAATGTGTTACCATGGTTCATGGATTGAAAGTTCAATAACTGCCTGTGTCATGATATAATCTTATGAAAATACAGAAAAACTCACTGATATGCCCATCCCAAACTTAAGCAAGACTATACCAGACAAATTTTTATGTATATGCTTCACACCTGACCTGATAATTAACACAGCAACTCCACAAGAATCTTGAGTGTGTCAGATTCAGCAGTGAAGTAAGGGTTAATTATCTTGACAGGTTTTAGTTGTCCTCAATAGTGTTAGAGATGATCTGGTATAATGTGGTACTTCTACTGAAAATAAAATGTAATTCAAGGGAGATAATTTACATAATTATTTGTACATATAACTCAAGGGAGATAATCTGTGTAAAGCTGCTGTTATTGATGATCAGTAGCTATAGCTCCAGAGAGGTAATCTGTGTTATTGATGACTCAGTAAGTGTTTTTCAAGAGAGATAATATATTTGATAACTAATGATGATCTGTTAAGCATGTAGTTTTAATGTTTATATATTTAACTCCAGGTTGGTTATGCGAAAAGAAAAGTGTTGTGTATTTAGTAATTAGCCGAGCTTCTGGTGACACAATGTTATATCTGATAGTGTACTTCCAAAGTTCAACACCATTTACTGACCATACTGTGTTGATGAGCTGGTAAATTAAGTATACTAAAGATCGGTATCAATAATTGTCTACATTTTAATGTTTACAGGAGATCACAGCAGACCTCCTCCTCACCAGCCTAAAGAGTCATCCCAAAGCCGAAGGTTTCATACTGGAGGGTTACCCCCGTACAATCAACCAGCTTAAGCAGTTTGACAAAATTGTAAATTTATTTTCCTTTTTATCCCAAACTTTTGATCTCACTGTTAACATATCTATAAATTTGTCAAGTATATATAATCATCAGTCTTTGGTCTTTGACGTGAGGTGTGTATAAATATATGATATAAATACACCAGTTTTAGATATTTTTCTTGTTCCTTGTAAAAGACCTTCATCGTCCATCGGCCAAGACACTTTACACTGTTGTTCCTGATTTTTGTTTGTAACTTTGTCTGTGTTTAATATTCTATGTTATGTAACTTTTGTAATATTTTGTGTCTTGATAAAGAAGCAGATTGCTGTTAAACTTTCCCTGTCTGTACAGTAGTTATCACTACATTGATCACATACTGATCAGTAAAGTATAAGTGCTTTCATTACAAATCTCCTGATGCTTTACAAATATGTGTAAATGATCAGAAGTGTTTTCATTTTAATTATTTTCCTATATATGAACTGGACAATGAGAATTTAAACTCGATCTCTGATATATTGTAAAGAATTTTGGACTTCATGACAAATTTAAATGTCAAGGTAGAAACAAGAAACACAAAGTTCATCAGAACATACATTCAGCCCGCTTTTATATGTCTTTATGTTAAGTATGTATGTTGTACAGGTGGGTCGTCTATCTATTGTGTTTCTGTATGTTAAGTATGTATGTTGTACAGGTGGGTCGTCTATCTATTGTGTTTCTGTATGTTAAGTATGTATGTTGTACAGGTGGGTCGTCTATCTATTGTGTTTCTATTGTGTTTCTATTGTGTATGTTAAGTATGTATGTTGTACAAGTGGGTTGTCTATCTATTGTGTTTCTGTATGTTAAGTATGTATGTTGTACAGGTAGGTCGTCTATCTATTGTGTTTCTGTATGTTAAGTATGTATGTTGTACAAGTGGGTTGTCTATCTATTGTGTTTCTGTATGTTAAGTATGTATGTTGTACAGGTGGGTCGGCTGGATATGTCCTTTATGTTGGACTGTGACGAACACTGCTGTACACAAAGGCTGCTACAGCGGGGCCAGAAGGAGGAGAGACTGCACGACAATATAAATGCGATACAGCGCCGTCTCACAGCATTCAAATGTAACACATTGCCTGCAGCCAAAGTTCTGGATGACAGAGGCAAACTCTTTGTGGTAAATAAAAACAAAAAGCATTGATGATTTCTCACATCGTAACCATTTAATGTTGATATATATTTGTAATTATTTAATGAAATTACTTACATTCTGGCGCCCCGTTATCTGTGTCGGTCATTGATTAGAGAATGGTCAATGTAAAGTTTTTGTCATGAATATTAAAGGGTTTTCTAGAGGCATCAGTATTTCCTTCAAATGTACTTGATCTATTCACATTTTATCTAGGTTTGGGTTGTGTAGAGGTGAGTTATGTACCTTTGCTGACTCAAGGTTTTGGTGTTGAGGTGAGTTATGTATCTTTGCTGACTCAAGGTTTGGGTGTTGAGGTGAGTTATGTATCTTTGCTGACTCAAGGTTTGGGTGTTGAGGTGAGTTATGTACCTTTGCTGGCTCAAGGTTTGGGTGTTGAGGTGAGTTATGTATCTTTGCTGGCTGAAGGTTTGGGTGTTGAGGTGAGTTATGTATCTTTGCTGACTCAAGGTTTGGGTGTTGAGGTGAGTTATGTATCTTTGCTGACTCAAGTTTTGGGTGTTGAGGTGAGTTATGTATCTTTGCTGGCTCAAGTTTTGGGGGTTGAGGAGAGTTATGTATCTTTGCTGACTCAAGTTTTGGGTGTTGAGGTGAGTTATGTATCTTTGCTGGCTCAAGTTTTGGGTGTTGAGGTGAGTTATGTATCTTTGCTGGCTCAAGTTTTGGGTGTTGAGGTGAGTTATGTATCTTTGCTGACTCAAGTTTTGGGTGTTGAGGTGAGTTATGTATCTTTGCTGACTCAAGTTTTGGGTGTTGAGGTGAGTTATGTATCTTTGCTGGCTCAAGTTTTGGGTGTTGAGGTGAGTTATGTATCTTTGATAACTCAAGGTTTGGGTGTTGAGGTGAGTTATGTATCTTTGCTGACTCAAGTTTTGGGTGTTGAGGTGAGTTATGTATCTTTGCTGGCTCAAGTTTTGGGTGTTGAGGTGAGTTATGTATCTTTGCTGACTCAAGTTTTGGGTGTTGAGGTGAGTTATGTATCTTTGCTGGCTCAAGTTTTGGGTGTTGAGGTGAGTTATGTATCTTTGCTGGCTCAAGTTTTGGGTGTTGAGGTGAGTTATGTATCTTTGCTGACTCAAGTTTTGGGTGTTGAGGTGAGTTATGTATCTTTGCTGACTCAAGTTTTGGGTGTTGAGGTGAGTTATGTATCTTTGCTGACTCAAGTTTTGGGTGTTGAGGTGAGTTATGTATCTTTGCTGACTCAAGTTTTGGGTGTTGAGGTGAGTTATGTATCTTTGCTGGCTCAAGTTTTGGGTGTTGAGGTGAGTTATGTATCTTTGATGACTCAAGGTTTGGGTGTTGAGGTGAGTTATGTATCTTTGCTGACTCAAGTTTTGGGTGTTGAGGTGAGTTATGTATCTTTGCTGACTCAAGTTTTGGGTGTTGAGGTGAGTTATGTATCTTTGCTGGCTCAAGTTTTGGGTGTTGAGGTGAGTTATGTATCTTTGCTGACTCAAGTTTTGGGTGTTGAGGTGAGTTATGTATCTTTGCTGACTCAAGTTTTGGGTGTTGAGGTGAGTTATGTATCTTTGCTGGCTCAAGTTTTGGGTGTTGAGGTGAGTTATGTATCTTTGCTGACTCAAGTTTTGGGTGTTGAGGTGAGTTATGTATCTTTGCTGACTCAAGTTTTGGGTGTTGAGGTGAGTTATGTATCTTTGCTGACTCAAGCTTTGGGTGTAGAGGTGAGTTATAAGTTGTTGCTGACTATGGATTTGGGTGTAGAGGTGAGTTATAAGTTGTTGCTGACTATGGATCTGGGTGTAGAGGTGAGTTATAAGTTGTTGCTGACTATGGATTTGGGTGTAGAGGTGAGTTATAAGTTGTTGCTGACTATGGATTTGGGTGTAGAGGTGAGTTATAAGTTGTTGCTGACTATGGATTTGGGTGTAGAGGTGAGTTATAAGTTGTTGCTGACTATGGATTTGGGTGTAGAGGTGAGTTATAAGTTGTTGCTGACTATGGATTTGGGTGTAGAGGTGAGTTATAAGTTGTTGCTGACTATGGATTTGGGTGGTGTAGAGGTGAGTTATAAGTTGTTGCTGACTATGGATTTGGGTGTTGAGGTGAGTTATAAGTTGTTACTGACTATGGATCTGGGTGTAGAGGTGAGTTATAAGTTGTTGCTGACTATGGATCTGGGTGTAGAGGTGAGTTATAAGTTGTTGCTGACTATGGATCTGGGTGTAGAGGTGAGTTATAAGTTGTTGCTGACTATGGATCTGGTTGTATAGGTAATTCTTTAGGTTTCTTTTGACCTTATGTCCATTTCCTGATATCCCTGTAAGATTTGATTGAAACATTAGATTTGTTTAGAATATTCAATAAGTTTGTATCAAATCTGATTTGATGTTATTCTAAAAAAAACAAAAAATGTTATACCAGCTTCACTTAAATAGTGTGTCATTTTGGGGCGAGTGTGTTTTGTTGATTTAAGTTTTTAACTACTTATCTCTGGGGAAGAACTTCAGTAACAAATCATCATCTTCATACAACCCTGATGGTTGTGAAGATGTAAAACCGAAAAACAAGAGAATATCACTATATTATCATTAACATGAAGAGTAACACATTCTATCAGTGTTTCAGACTTTAATACAAAAATGAGGGCCATTCAACTGTTATATTTAACAAGAAAAAACAGTGAACATATGTTTAGCATTGATTGACTTGCACTGATATAAGATTGCTTAGAAATCTTTGATATGTCCTTTCAGAAAGAAATCAATTAAATTTCTTGATTTTATGTGGATTCATAATTAAGGTATTTGAATAAAGCACACAAAAACTGGGTATGAGTCAATGCTTGAAAATCGGCCCATCCCCTATTTTTCTTATTTTCAGTACAAAGGCTCACAATGGGAATACGCCCACTTTTTAAATGTCCAATTAACCATGAAAAGGCGAGAATTAAGTTGTAAAAACAGCTTTTTCTTTAAACAAAAAAGAAAGAGAAAAATATGTTTTCTGATGAAAAATAATCTGCATTTGATCTTTGACTCAGACTAGAGTGACAGTGAGACGCCATGCTGTTAATTATAGATCTACCATTGGGGATTTTATAGAGCGACATTATGACTAACTATGTGGACACCAGACATAAACACACGGTGAGACACCATGCTGATAACTATAGATCTACCACTGGGGACTATGTGGACACCAGACATAAACACACGGTGAGACACCATGCTGATAACTATAGATCTACCACTGGGGACTATGTGGACACCAGACATAAACACACGGTGAGACACCATGCTGATAACTATAGATCTACCACTGGGGACTATGTGGACACCAGACATAAACACACGGTGAGACACCATGCTGATAACTATAGATCTACCACTGGGGACTATGTGGACACCAGACATAAACACACGGTGAGACACCATGCTGATAACTATAGATCTACCACTGGGGACTATGTGGACACCAGACATAAACACACATTACCAAGTAGAGAAATATATACACCAGGTAGTAAATATAGAAATGAAAAACCTTGTCTCTAATATTGTAGATAAATGGAGATAGAGACATCAAAGAGGTGGCATTTGAGCTGAAGCAATATTTCACAAGATCTATCTTTGGAGACAAAAATGGAAAGAAGCTGGGTGAGTCCATCAAATATATTTCAGAATTGTCATGATCAGAATCTGATCTTCAATTGGGGATGGTTTGTCTGAGTCATCAACTGGCAAGTATCAGAAAAGTCTGAGATACACCTGGTCTGTATAACTCAGGTCTGACTGAGATACACCTGGTCTGTATAACTGAGGTCTGACTGAGATACACCTGGTCTGTATAACTCAGGTCTGACTGAGATACACCTGGTCTGTATAACTCAGGTCTGACTGAGATACACCCGGTCTGTATAACTCAGGTCTGACTGAGATACACCTGGTCTGTATAACTCAGGTCTGACTGAGATGCACCTGGTCTGTATAACTCAGGTCTGACTGAGATACACCTGGTCTGTATAACTCAGGTCTGACTGAGATACACCTGGTCTGTATGACTGAGGTCTGACTGAGATACACCTGGTCTGTATGACTCAGGTCTGACTGAGATACACCTGGTCTGTATAACTCAGGTCTGACTGAGATACACCTGGTCTGTATAACTCAGGTCTGACTGAGATACACCTGGTCTGTATAACTGAGGTCTGACTGAGATACACCTGGTCTGTATAACTCAGGTCTGACTGAGATACACCTGGTCTGTATAACTGAGGTCTGACTGAGATACACCTGGTCTGTATAACTGAGGTCTGACTGAGATACACCTGGTCTGTATAACTGAGGTCTGACTGAGATACACCTGGTCTGTATAACTGAGGTCTGACTGAGGTCTGACTGAGATACACCTGGTCTGTATAACTCAGGTCTGACTGAGATACACCTGGTCTGTATAACTGAGGTCTGACTGAGATACACCTGGTCTGTATGACTCAGGTCTGGTGGTATGTATGGAATTAGTATTATGTAGAGAGCTACTTTAAAATGCTTAGAGTATAAGTGTAAAATCTGGCATGTGATTGTTACCATTAAGTTTGCTATGAGACATAATGTTGGACATGAAGTTAGACCTGAAAGCAGGGCAAGAACTAAGTGTGAGAAGACTTAGTCATGCTTCTAGACTGTTTTCCAATCCAGTTGATATATCTATCAATAGAATTTGTTTAAATAAAGTGTGAAACTCAATCTGAATGGTAAATGAAGAACTAAAGTGTGAAGTTATACCTTAAAGCTGACACTAACCTGAAGATTGAAACAAAAACTAAAGGACGAAAGACTTGTTTACTTGTGAGATCTTGCATGCTTTGTTTTAAATGAGTAAAACTTGTCATTCTTGCTTTTCAGGAACACCTACTAATTTTGTAAACAGCAGTATTTTAGAATATTCCTTTTCAGATATTTTCCTGCTTTGTAACGAGAAAACAGATATTATTTCATTTTTTTGCTTTTTGATGAATGTAAAGAGTTGTAGCTGTCTGAAGCTGGATTGTGAACAAGACAAGTAGAGAAATCTATTTTATTCTTCTATCATCTTGACATTTCATGGTTTATTGTAGATAAACCTGTTTTGTTCTAACATTGTAATTCTTAATGATTTATTGTAGATAAACCTTTTATTTATTCATCCTAATACTTCATGTCTTATTGTAAATAAACCTATCATTCTCACATCCTAATATTCATGTCGTACTGTAAATAAACCTATCATTCTATCATCCTAACATTCATGATTTGCTGTAGATAAATGTATTATTCTATCATCCTAACATTCATGATTTGCTGTAGATAAATGTATTATTCTATCATCCTAACATTCATGATTTGCTGTAGATAAATGTATTATTCTATCATCCTAACATTCATGATTTGCTGTAGATAAATGTATTATTCTATCATCCCAACACTTCAAAATTTACCTGATATGACTCATTAATTACTTTCTCAACACATTCTTTCCTCCAAACAGGTGTCCCTCCACCACAAATATATACTAATTAAGTCACACTGATTCCCTTTTTCGCGGCATAATGATGAACTCTGCCCGTGTTTTTGCGATTTCTATATGTGTAAGTGTCCCTGCCTACTCGCTAAAAGTTTTAGATTTAAAAGAAGCAATCAGTTTGGACAGAAGCTTTTCTGAAGGCTGTGGAAGATTCCAAGTTTTAAATGGACACAATTAGAGGTGTGTAAAAAAGTGTGAATTTTTATTTTAAAGTTTAATTATTTAAATTTAGCATGCTATGAAGGAATCGTAACTAACCACCTCTAGATAAAGTTCACGTAAACACCCTGATGTTGGACCATCCAGCTTCTCAGGAGTATAGATCTGTTCAAAATGGTCTTAACAGATTACACTCATATTTATATCAAAATGTTAATTTAAAGTGATTCATCTGAGTCAGTCAAAATCAGAGGGTCGATGTTACGCTTGACCACGGTAGATATTTCTAGCACACATGTCAATTTCTTTTACAAAGGGCATGGTAGAGTGTTTCTCATTGTAAAATTGGACCTAAATCTTTGTATTCAATAACTACAATCTAAAGGCAATCTGAGTTATACAGATCACATTTATACTTGTTGTATAAATGTGATCTACTACATTATACAGTTACTAAATAATTATAGATGTTACCCTAAACATTGAACTAGAGGATTCTATGTAAACACCTGTAATCACACTCTAACCTGTTTCACTACATTTGCCTGTCATTTTTCCTATCATTGGCTTTACTGTTTTTCATAACCAGATCCTCATTATACATCTATATGATTACGTCATTAATAGGAAGACATGAGTAGTTAATAAAATCAAGTTTTATTTCCTCTACAGAACCACCACGATCCAATATTCCTAATCCCCCTGAAGATGCAGTTCCCACAGCGGCCACTTACGAACGTCCATCTGAGGCTATAGAACGAACAAAATCACAGATGAAGGCCAGTATGATAGTTGTCAGAGATGCACCAGAAATAGTGATTAAAGATGAAGGAAGAAAGCCAGATTTACCCACCTGTCCCATCATAGTTCTCGCAGGTAATGAAGATATGATAATAATTACAGTAAGGAGGTTATTTAAACGGTTCCTGTCTGATCACAGTCATTACTGGTGATGAAGTTAAGGATTCCTGACTGATCATAGTCATTACTGGTGATGAAGTTAAGGATTCCTGTCTGATCACAGTCATTACTGGTGATGAAGTTAAGGATTCCTGTCTGATCATAGTCATTACTGGTGATGAAGTTAAGGATTCCTGTCTGATCACAGTCATTACTGGTGAGGAAGTTAAGGGTTCCTGTCTGATCACAGTCATTACTGGTGATGAAGTTAAGGATTCCTGTCTGATCACAGTCATTACTGGTGAGGAAGTTAAGGATTCCTGTCTGATCATAGTCATTACTGGTGAGGAAGTTAAGGATTCCTGACTGATCACAGTCATTACTGGTGAGGAAGTTAAGGATTCCTGTCTGATCACAGTCATTACTGGTGAGGAAGTTAAGGATTCCTGTCTGATCACAGTCATTACTGGTGATGAAGTGTAGGATTCCTGTCTGATCACAGTCATTACTGGTGATGAAGTTAAGGATTCCTGTCTGATCACAGTCATTACTGGTGATGAAGTTAAGGATTCCTGTCTGATCACAGTCATTACTGGTGAGGAAGTTAAGGATTCCTGTCTGATCATAGTCATTACTGGTGAGGAAGTTAAGGATTCCTGACTGATCACAGTCATTACTGGTGAGGAAGTTAAGGATTCCTGTCTGATCACAGTCATTACTGGTGAGGAAGTTAAGGATTCCTGTCTGATCATAGTCATTACTGGTGATGAAGTTAAGGATTCCTGTCTGATCATAGTCATTACTGGTGATGAAGTCATTACTGGGATTCCTGATTCCTGTCTGATCATAGTCATTACTGGTGATGAAGTTAAGGATTCCTGACTGATCATAGTCATTACTGGTGATGAAGTTAAGGATTCCTGTCTGATCATAGTCATTACTGGTGATGAAGTTAAGGATTCCTGACTGATCATAGTCATTACTGGTGATGAAGTTAAGGATTCCTGTCTGATCACAGTCATTACTGGTGATGAAGTTAAGGATTCCTGTCTGATCATAGTCATTACTGGTGAGGAAGTTAAGGATTCCTGTCTGATCACAGTCATTACTGGTGAGGAAGTTAAGGATTCCTGTCTGATCACAGTCATTACTGGTGAGGAAGTTAAGGATTCCTGTCTGATCATAGTCATTACTGGTGATGAAGTTAAGGATTCCTGACTGATCATAGTCATTACTGGTGAGGAAGTTAAGGATTCCTGACTGATCATAGTCATTACTGGTGAGGAAGTTAAGGATTCCTGTCTGATCACAGTCATTACTGGTGATGAAGTTAAGGATTCCTGTCTGATCACAGTCATTACTGGTGAGGAAGTTAAGGATTCCTGTCTGATCATAGTCACAGTCATTACTGGTGATGAAGTTAAGGATTCCTGACTGATCATAGTCATTACTGGTGATGAAGTTAAGGATTCCTGACTGATCATAGTCATTACTGGTGATGAAGTTAAGGATTCCTGTCTGATCACAGTCATTACTGGTGATGAAGTTAAGGATTCCTGTCTGATCACAGTCATTACTGGTGAGGAAGTTAAGGATTCCTGACTGATCATAGTCATTACTGGTGAGGAAGTTAAGGATTCCTGTCTGATCACAGTCATTACTGGTGATGAAGTTAAGGATTCCTGTCTGATCACAGTCATTACTGGTGAGGAAGTTAAGGATTCCTGACTGATCATAGTCATTACTGGTGAGGAAGTTAAGGATTCCTGACTGATCATAGTCATTACTGGTGATGAAGTTAAGGATTCCTGTCTGATCATAGTCATTACTGGTGAGGAAGTTAAGGATTCCTGTCTGATCACAGTCATTACTGGTGATGAAGTTAAGGATTCCTGACTGATCATAGTCATTACTGGTGAGGAAGTTAAGGATTCCTGACTGATCACAGTCATTACTGGTGAGGAAGTTAAGGATTCCTGACTGATCATAGTCATTACTGATGATGAAGTTAAGGATTCCTGACTGATCATAGTCATTACTGGTGAGGAAGTTAAGGATTCCTGTCTGATCACAGTCATTACTGGTGATGAAGTTAAGGATTCCTGACTGATCATAGTCATTACTGGTGAGGAAGTTAAGGATTCCTGACTGATCACAGTCATTACTGGTGAGGAAGTTAAGGATTCCTGACTGATCACAGTCATTACTGGTGATGAAGTTAAGGATTCCTGACTGATCATAGTCATTACTGGTGAGGAAGTTAAGGATTCCTGTCTGATCACAGTCATTACTGGTGATGAAGTTAAGGATTCCTGACTGATCATAGTCATTACTGGTGAGGAAGGTAAGGATTCCTGACTGATCACAGTCATTACTGTGAGGAAGTTAAGGATTCCTGACTGATCATAGTCATTACTGGTGAGGAAGTTAAGGATTCCTGACTGATCACAGTCATTACTGGTGAGGAAGTTAAGGATTCCTGTCTGATCACAGTCATTACTGGTGATGAAGTTAAGGATTCCTGACTGATCATAGTCATTACTGGTGAGGAAGTTAAGGATTCCTGTCTGATCATAGTCATTACTGGTGATGAAGTTAAGGATTCCTGACTGATCATAGTCATTACTGGTGATGAAGTTAAGGATTCCTGTCTGATCACAGTCATTACTGGTGATGAAGTTAAGGATTCCTGACTGATCACAGTCATTACTGGTGATGAAGTTAAGGATTCATGTCTGATTGTTGTACTATCCTACAGAAGTTATGTATAAGACGCCTGTCCTATCATAAGGAAGTTATATACAGAGGAATTAACAATTATACCTTGCTGATATCATATCTTTATAGATATATACTGATCATTACTGTGACTGTTCAGTTTTCTGACCTTACATGTTACAGGTGGACCAGGTAGTGGAAAAGGTACCCAAGCTAAGATGATCACTGAGCGCTACCCGGGAACAGTCCATATATCTATGGGGGATATTCTCAGGACAGAGATCAGTCAAAATGGCACAGTGGATGAGAAATGGGGAATGATTAGCTCCTTAGTACAAAAAGGAGAAATGGCACCAGAGGTAAGGAAGGGAGACAACTCTGTTTCCAGATGAGCTTGGAACTTGATTTACTGTGTGAGGATACAAATAAAATTCATTTGTCAGTTTATGGACAGTTTTGGTATTATATATGAAAACACCATAGATTGTAAATTAAAAACAGTGATAAAGTTGTAATAAAGACAATGAACATGTCTTTCGTTTGCAGGAGGTGACAGTAGATCTACTTAAAACTAACTTAGCAAAACACAAGGACGCATCAGCCATTATACTTGAAGGCTATCCTCGCGACAAGTCACAGGTGGAGGAATTCAATAAATATGTAAGTATATTTACACAGATCTCAATATATACACAGCTGAAAAAAGCAGATTATTGAAAAAGTATGTAAAGGTGTACAGAAAGGTAACTTTATAAACAAGATTAAAGAACTTGAAAGATAAGTATGACTATTACATATGTGATGCTCAAGTCCTTGGTCACCATCTGTCCCTGACCTGTTGCCAGGTAACCGACAACAGGATGTCTTTACCATGGCATTTAACTTAACCTAATTCTATCACTAATTTGTTGACCATGTTCTGGGATAAATGTGTACACCTCAAAATGTATGTCATAGAATAATTAATCAAAGTTTAGTCGTAAATAACAAACATGATCACAACAACCAGAAGACCTTGATTTCACATTGGATTTGTGTGTTCTGGTGACTGTCAAGGTCACTGAGCCTCACGTCACATTGATGTGTTCTGGTTACTGTCAAGGTCACTGAGCCTCGTGGCACATTGATGTGTTCTGGTTACTGTCAATGTCACTGAGCCTCACGTCACATTGATGTGTTGTGGTGACTGTCAAGGTCACTGAGCCTCACGTCACATTGATGTGTTCTGGTGACTGTCAAGGTCACTGAGCCTCACGTCACATTGATGTGTTCTGGTGACTGTCAAGGTCACTGAGCCTCACGTCACATTGATGTGTTCTGGTGACTGTCAAGGTCACTGAGCCTCACGTCACATTGATGTGTTCTGGTGACTGTCAAGGTCACTGAGCCTCACGTCACATTGATGTGTTCTGGTGACTGTCAAGGTCACTGAGCCTCACGTCACATTGATGTGTTCTGGTGACTGTCAAGGTCACTGAGCCTCATGTCACATTGATGTGTTCTGGTGACTGTCAAGGTCACTGAGCCGCATGTCACACTGATGTGTTCTGGTGACTGTCAAGGTCACTGAGCCGCATGTCACATTGATGTGTTCTGGTGACTGTCAAGGTCACTGAGCCCCATGTCAAATTGATGAGTTTCGGTGACTGTCAAGGTCACTGAGACTGATGTCACATTGATGTGTTCTGGTGACTGTCAAGGTCACTGAGCCTCATGTCACATTGATGTGTTCTGGTGACTGTCAAGGTCACTGAGACTGATGTCACATTGACATTAAAAGGTCATGATTGTGAGACTAAGGTGTTAATACTTTGGCTTTGATGATGGTGTCTTCATTTTATATTTTGCTCAAAAAAATAAAAAAAACTTTGTATAAAGTTAGATCAATACATCCATCTTTTACAAAACATCTCCCTGATTTTATGGTCCAGCAACTCTGAAATTTATTTTCTTGTATAGTGTTATTGATGTACAGAGATCTAAACCCACCAAATAGACAATAGGAGTTTTAATCTTCTGTGTATTTTTGGACAGAACTGAAGATTTCTATAAATGACTACAAAATCTTCATGACTTTTCCCTATTCACTTTAGATCCTTTTGCAGTCATATTAAAACAAGTACTTTAAAATATTGCATTAGTTTTCCTCTCCGTCCTCAGGAAGAGTGATACTATTGGGATGTGAATGTTATATTTGAAAGATTTTTTAGAATTTAACAATTCATAAAATTTTTACTTGTTTTACAATGCATCAGTGTATAAACTCGACAATACCTTGGAAAAGAACTAGATTTTAGACTGGAGTGTATTTTGTAGTTTGCTGATACTCTACCAACAGACCTTAAGACAGGCAAGACATAATTACCCATAATTATTGTTCTTTACACTTTCTTACCAATGTTTCCTTCTAAATTGTAGATTGGAGGACTAAACTTTGTGCTGTTGGTAGACTGTGATGAATATTACATGCAGAAAAGACTGGTCGACAGAGGGAAGGAGAAAGACCGAATTGATGATAATCTCAACGCAATCTCCAGTAGAATTTGCTTCTTCCGTAATAATACACTACCTATTTTAAAACACTTTGATGACAATGGCAAGCTTGTTGTCGTAAGTTGTTTAGAAATTTGTCCTATTTGATATGTATGTGAAGTGGATGTATGTGATCAAAGTATTTAAAAAACTGAAAATTTTATTTTTTTAAAATCAAATGTTGAATGCCAGCACATAAAATAAAAAAACAGGTTATTATGCTTTTCCAGTAATTCATTACAATTGTCTTTTGTATGCTATTATTAGGATCTTAGAACATCAGCATACAAGTTATTTCAACTTATCAATAACAGTTTTAACTCGTAGTTGTCGTCTATAACGTGACTGAGAAGTAATGTTGGGTCATTGATTTTACAGCTGCATGGTGACAGAGATAGCCAGGCCTTGTTCTTTGATGTATCCTGTGTGTTAGATAGGGCTTTCTTCGGTGATAAGTTACAGCAGCCTGTAAGTATTATATCAAATAAATACAGAACAATTTTTATATCAGAAGTTCGAACGATGAAAATATTGGGACATCAATTCTTTATTTGATACCGCAATCACAGAACAGTTTTCTTCATGTTGTTATGTAGTTGCAGCTTTGTCCATCTGATAGATAGATAGGTAAATAGATCTTGATAAGGAGAAGTGCAGAGTACAAGAACCATAACTCTCTTTTACATAATTTAGGAGTTATTGAAACATGGTGTATACATTGGTCATACTAAGAGAATGTGCAGTATCCAAAATTCAGGGCCTCAAACCTCTTACTTACAGAATTAATGCTCTATGAATCAATTTTGTGTCTAATAAAGTCTTTTTCAGGGAGAATTCATCAGGTTCACTGATACTTTTGTTATTGTTAGCCCCCTACAAAACCTGACATTATAAGGACCCTGCCTTTATACATTGAAAACAAATCTTACTCTGTGAGAACAAAATGGATACAGAAGACAATCATGTCCTGTCCTGTGATAATGTTGACAGATGTTTAGTGTACAAAACTAATGAATTTGTGAGTATCCTACTCAGTGATGCCTGGTAATAGACCATGACCTAATTCCACACCAAATCTGTTGTGATGCAATCATCAGCATAGCAAGGAATAGTAATCGTAAGCACATAGTTTATTGTCTGGAGGACTCTCTTATCTTATGTCAAACTTGTAGCTGAAGACTTGAACAACACAAAACAGTAGTGACAAACAAAATCTTCTGTACAGGTAGGGGGGCAGTAAATAGGTAGTGGGGGACCTAGTATACAGATAGTGAAGGACCTAGTATACAGGTAGTGGGGGATCTAGTATACAGGTAGTGAGGGACCTAGTATACAGGTAGTGAGGGACCTAGTATACAGGTAGTGGGGGATCTAGTATACAGGTACAGGTAGTGAGGGACCTAGTATACAGGTAGTGAGGGACCTAGTATACAGGTAGTGGGGGACCTAGTATACAGGTAGTGAGGGACCTAGTATACAGTTAGTGGGGGACCTAGTATACAGGTAGTGGGGGACCTAATATACAGGTAGAGAGGGACCTAGTATACAGGTAGAGAGGGACCTAGTATACAGGTAGTGGGGGACCTAGTATACAGATAGTGAGGGACCTAGTATACAGGTAGTGGGGGACCTAGTATACAGGTAGTGAGGGACCTAGTATACAGGTAGTGGGGGACCTAGCATACAGGTAGTCAGAGACCTAGTATACAGGTAGTGGGGGACCTAGCATACAGGTAGTGGGGGACCTAGTATACAGGTAGTCAGAGACCTAGTATACAGGTAGTGGGAGACCTAGTATACAGGTAGTGAGGGACCTAGTATACAGGTAGTGGGAGACCTACTATACATATAGTGGGGGACCTAGTATACAGGTAGTGGGGGGCCTAGTATACAGGTACTGGGGGACCTAGTATACAGGTAGTGGGGGACCTACTATACAGGTAGTGGGGGCCTAGTATACAGGTAGAGGGGGACCTAGTATACAGGTAGTGGGGGACCTAGTATACAGGTAGTGGGGGATCTAGTATACAGGTAGTGGAGGACCTAGTATACAAGTAGTGGGGGACCTAGTATACAGGTAGTCAGAGACCTAGTATACAGGTAGAGGGGGACCTAGTATACAAGTAGTGAGAGACCTAGTATACAGGTAGAGGGAGACCTAGTATACAGGTAGTCAGAAACCTAGTATACAGGTAGTCAGGGACCTAGTATACAGGTAGTTGGAGACCTAGTATACAGGTAGTGGGGGACCTAGTATACAGGTACTGGGGGACCTAGTATACAGGTAGTGGGGGACCTACTATACAGGTAGTGGGGGCCTAGTATACAGGTAGAGGGGGACCTAGTATACAGGTAGTGGGGTACCTAGTATACAGGTAGTGGAGGACCTAGTATACAGGTAGTGGGGGACCTAGTATACAGGTAGTGGGGGACCTAGTATACAGGTAGTGGGGGACCTACTATACATGTAGTGGGAGCCTTGTATACAGGTAGAGGGGGACCTAGTATACAGGTAGTGGAGGACCTAGTATACAAGTAGTGGGGGACCTAGTATACAGGTAGTGGGGGACCTAGTATATAGGTAGTCAGAGACCTAGTATACAGGTAGAGGGGGACCTAGTATACAGGTAGTAAGGGATCTAGTATACAGGTAGTGAGGGACCTAGTATACAGGTAGTGGGGGCCTAGTATACAAGTAGTGAGGGACCTAGTATACAGGTAGTGGGGGACCTAATGTACAGGCAGTGGTGGTGGTGTAGTTAGGTGTATTACGGTACAGTGATACAGTAATATTAAGTCTGAGTGATAGGTTTACTTGTTACAGTGTGGTGGTGTAGTTAGGTGTATTACGGTACAGTGATACAGTAATATTAAGTCAGGGTGATAAGTTTACTTGTTACAGTGTGGTGGTGTAGTTAAGTGTATTACGGTACAGTGATACAGTAACAATAAGTCAGGGTGATTAGGTTTTTACCTGCTACAAACACTTACTCAGCAGCTTGGTCCATTTACATGTCAGATGTGAAGGGAGTGATCAGTGTTTTTATCTGAGGGAAAATTTATCCTTTGTGTAAATTATACATATATACCTTGTGGATAATGGCAGTAAGTAAACAGTCATTTTGTGTTAAAATTCATTTATTGTGACATTAACCTGTCATGAATAGGGTCTGAGAAATGTTTCATCTGTTATCACTGCTTTACTCTAGTTGTGTGACTTATGCCTATGATAGTTTGATTCATCATCAGGAATACTTGTTAGTGTTGAAAATTACTGTAATACCGTTTCGCTTGTTAGGGTATTTTGATTTATTGTCGAGAATCAATTTTCAGTGCTGTGTAGTTGAGATGTTTAAATGCTGTGATTGTTCGTAAAATCTTTGACCTTAGAACCTAATGATGTTCGTTTCTATTCAAACGACAACATTTCATATTAGATGTTCTTTTCTTCATGAAGATGCCAGCAGTTTTTTTTTGTTTTTTTTTTTGTGAAATGGTTTGGACACTGGATGAACTGACAAATTTCGATAACTAACTATCTTCCCTGAAAAATCTTCTCCATTCAGATGCCTTTAAGAGACAAATGTGATGTCATTATCGTGTATAAATTTCTGTATAGATTTCTGTATAAATTTCTGTATAGATTTCTGTATAAATTTCTGTATAGATTTTCAAACGTTGTATGACTTTTATTTACACATTATTTGTGACCTTGTAATGAAGGATGGCTATCCTATACAAACAGGTTGTACATATTCATCTATTTCCTGTTTGTGATCCTATCCCTCCACAGTAAAATGTTGACATATCAGGCCCTCACATATAATGATTAAGATGACTGTAAAATCACTTTTTTAGTGGGACTTAATTTTCATGGTTTTCCCTTAAACTGTGGACACTTATTTCCATGGATAGATATAACTCAATAAATTTACTTCTACTTATTTCAACAACTTGTTGATGTATAAATTCCATGAATTAAGAGTACCCACAAAATTAATGAAAATAAATTCCCCACAAAGAATAATAATTCTGCAGTAATTTGTTGTGAACAATCATTATGTACTGGCACTACCACAAAGTCACTTTAATCAATACACTACCACAGTTACTGGGCACTACCACCTAATGACTTTAATCACATGCATGGTTCTTCGGCGAATATTATATGTGTAATATAACTCATTGAGATGTCAGATTTAGATAATTAAATGAAGTCACACACTGCAGTTTGATGTAACAATGCAGACCATAGATATATCGCCAAAATGATATCAAGTTTGAAGTGGAGTGTTCGTTTTCTACTTGTTTGAATGCTTGATCTTGTGATAAAAAGGACCTGAAATTTTGATATGTAAACAACTTTTTATGCTCCCCAAAATTTTTCAGGGGAGAATCTAGTCACCACCTTGTTCATCCATCTTTCTGTTTGTCCTTTTGTGTCGGAAATATAACTTTGCTTACACTTAAGCAAGGATTGTGAATCTTTGTATTTTTTGGTCCTCGACCCTTCAGTTACAGAGTTACTGCCCTTTATTATAATTTTTTGCCAGGAGCATAACTTTGCTTGCATTTAAACTACAATAATATGTACAATAGGTGTACATTGGTCATATTAAGTGAATGTGCAGTATACCAAATTCAGGGCCTGCAACTTCTTAATTACATAATTATTGCCCTTTGCTGAAATTAAAAATACTTATACCTGATTAATAGATCTGGTATGAAATGTAAGACCTTGTATTACATACTTGGTCATCCTAACATAAGAAATCTCACCAGACTTTACCAGGTTGACTTAAACTTGTCTTTTGTTTATTGACAGGCTCCGACATCTGAAGGTCAGGGTAAGTGATTTATATTACCATTGGCTCTGTGACAAATATACCTACATTACTAAACAAATATACTTATAAATCAGGTGCATGTTACCTACCTATATATACTGAATGATTCCTAACATTGAAATAACATGTATTAGAGCCTTAGTATGGATGGAAATACCTTGAGCTTAATTCTTTGTTTTCAAATGCTTAGAATTCTGAAGTATGTTAAGCTGAGATCTTCCTTACATGTTAGTACTAAAAGCAACAGTACGTGACTGAATGTCAGGACTTTTTGTTAGTCTAATGACTTTGGAGAGGTTTTGTTAGTCTAATGACTTTGCCTCAGTGTAGCTGACCTGGCATGTTGCTACTAATATTTGAAGAAGCTTCAGACGTTCCTAGATTTAAGGCAGTGTGGGGTAATACACAGTAGTCACAGCTGCCATGCTTTATCTAGAATAAGATGGGAGGGATAAAGTGATAACTTCAGAGAGGTGGGCTTATAACAGGACAATGACAAAGCATTGGCTGTAAATCCCACTAAAACTTACATAGGCTTATTAACAAGCTGGGCTTATTGAAATATTAAAACATTTAATATCTGATATAATGAATTGGTCACAAATAGCAGAGAACAACAGTAGGTATCAGTTATTGACCAGTGGGTGTCAGTTATCGACCAGTGGGTGTCAGTTATTGACATGTGGGTGTCAGTTATTGACCAGTGGGTGTCAGTTATTGACCAGTCCGGATATACAGTGTGATCAGGAAACTTCTTATAAACTCATGTAAATAATCAATATTATGTTGTATAGTGTTACCTGTCTATAAGGTACTCTGTATACCATACAAATATCCACTTTATAGTGTTATCTGTCTATAAGGTACTCTGTATACTATACAAATATCCACTTTATAGTGTTATCTGTCTATAAGGTACTCTGTATACTATACAGATATCCACTGTATAGTGTTACCTGTCTATAAGGTACTCTGTATACTATACAAATATCCACTTTATAGTGTTATCTGTCTATAAGGTACTCTGTATACTATACAAACCTGTCTATAGGGTACTCTGTATACTATACAAACCTGTCTATAAGGTACTCTGTATACTATACAAACCTGTCTATAAGGTACTCTGTATACATGTCTATAAGGTACTCTGTTTACTATACACACCTGTCTATAAAGTACTCTGTATACAATACAAACCTGTCTATAAGGTACTCTGTATACTATACACACCTGTCTATAAGGTACTCTGTATACTATACAAACCTGTCTATAAGGTACTCTGTATACTATACAAACCTGTCTATAAGGTACTCTGTATACTATACAAACCTGTCTATAAGGTACTCTGTATACCATACAAATATCCACTTTATAGTGTTATCTGTCTATAAGGTACTCTGTATACTATACAAACCTGTCTATAAGGTACTCTGTATACTATACACACCTGTCTATAAGGTACTCTGTATACTATACACACCTGTCTATAATGTACTCTGTATACCATACAAATATTCCCTGTGTAGTGTTACCTGTCTATAATGTATTCTGTAGAATCTGGAAACTTTTTCATGTGATCAGCATCACAGTAAATACACTTCATTCTCCTAGCAGATTTGCTGGTAAATTTCCCAGGCTAGAATATATATACATTATGCTAGCGAGAGACTCAAAAGCTGTCTGTTAAATTAAGCTTCAAAGCACAACAGACATATAGTCAAGCTTATTCTTCATTAACTCAACCACTGAACAAACCCCAGTAACATAGAATGAGCCATTACAAGGATCCTGTCTCCTATTATCAGGTAAGGTGATATCTCTTAAGATGTCATGACTTGTGATAGCAACAAGGCATTCTTTCTCCTGAGCACATCCTAGTGAGATGTAGATCTAGTCTGGCATTTTGAGAAACCTGTTAGTTTAGCAAGAAAGAAAACATCACTGAAGCCCTTCTCTCTATCCACCAATCACTACTGTACCCCAGTCAGTAAGGTTACACTCACTGGAGCCCCAAACCCCCTCCCTCCTCACCCACTACTGTACCCCAGTCAGTAAGGTTACACTCACTGGAGCCCCAAACCCCCTCCCTCCTCACCCACTACTGTACCCCAGTCAGTAAGGTTACACTCACTGGAGCCCCAAACCCCCTCCCTCCTCACCCACTACTGTACCCCAGTCAGTAAGGTTACACTCACTGCAGCCCCAAACCCCCTCCCTCCTCACCCACTACTGTACCCCAGTCAGTAAGGTTACACTCACTGGAGCCCCAAACCCCCTCCCTCCTCACCCACTACTGTACCCCAGTCAGTAAGGTTACACTCACTGGAGCCCCAAACCCCCTCCCTCCTCACCCACTACTGTACCCTAGTCAGTAAGGTAACACTCACTGGAGCCCCAAACCCCCTCCCTCCTCACCCACTACTGTACCCCAGTCAGTAAGGTAACACTCACTGGAGCCCCAAACCCCCTCCCTCCTCACCCACTACTGTACCCCAGTCAGTAAGGTTACACTCACTGGAGCCCCAAACCCCCTCCCTCCTCACCCACTACTGTACCCGAGTCAGTAAGGTAACACTCACTGGAGCCCCAAACCCCCTCCCTCCTCACCCACTACTGTACCCCAGTCAGTAAGGTTACACTCACTGGAGCCCCAAACCCCCTCCCTCCTCACCCACTACTGTACCCCAGTCAGTAAGGTAACACTCACTGGAGCCCCAAACCCCCTCCCTCCTCACCCACTACTGTACCCCAGTCAGTAAGGTTACACTCACTGGAGCCCCAAACCCCCTCCCTCCTCACCCACTACTGTACCCCAGTCAGTAAGGTTACACTCACTGGAGCCCCAAACCCCCTCCCTCCTCACCCACAACTGTACCCACTAGTCAGTAAGGTAACACTAACACTCACTGGAGCCCCAAACCCCCTCCCTCCTCACCCACTACTGTACCCCAGTCAGTAAGGTAACACTCACTGGAGCCCCAAACCCCATCCCTCCTCACCTACTACTGTACCCTAATCAGTAAGGTAACACTCACTGGAGCCCCAAACCCCCTCCCTCCTCACCCACTACTGTACCCCAGTCAGTAAGGTAACACTCACTGGAGCCCCAAACCCCATCCCTCCTCACCTACTACTGTACCCTAATCAGTAAGGTAACACTCACTGGAGCCCCAAACCCCCACCCACCACACCCACAACTGTACCCCAGTCAGTAAGGTTACACTCACAGGAGCCCCAAACCCCCTCCCTCCTCACCCACTACTGTACCCTAAGGAGCCCCCAGCCCCAAACCCCCTCCCTCCTCACCCACTACTGTACCCCAGTCAGTAAGGTTACACTCACTGGAGCCCCAAACCCCCTCCCTCCTCACCCACTACTGTACGCTAGTTGGTAAGTTAACACTCACTGGAGCCCCCAACCCCCTCCCACCCGATCTCACCCTGCGTCTGGTGTTATGAATTTTGAACTTCAGAACTCCCCCCCTCCCTCCTCACCCACTACTGTACCCCAGTCAGTAAGGTTACACTCACTGGAGCCCCAAACCCCCTCCCTCCTCACCCACTACTGTACCCCAGTCAGTAAGGTTACACTCACTGGAGCCCCAAACCCCCTCCCTCCTCACCCACTACTGTACCCCAGTCAGTAAGGTTACACTCACTGGAGCCCCAAACCCCCTCCCTCCTCACCCACTACTGTACCCCAGTCAGTAAGGTAACACTCACTGGAGCCCCAAACCCCCTCCCTCCTCACCCACTACTGTACCCTAGTCAGTAAGGTAACACTCACTGGAGCCCCAAACCCCCTCCCTCCTCACCCACTACTGTACCCTAGTCAGTAAGGTAACACTCACTGGAGCCCCAAACCCCCTCCCTCCTCACCCACTACTGTACCCCAGTCAGTAAGGTTACACTCACTGGAGCCCCAAACCCCCTCCCTCCTCACCCACTACTGTACCCCAGTCAGTAAGGTTACACTCACTGGAGCCCCCAACCCCCTCCCTCACCCACTACTGTACCCTAGTGGGTAAGGTAACACTAACTGTAGCCCCCAACCCCCTCCCTCCTCACCCACTACTGTACCCCAGTCAGTAAGGTAACACTCTCTGGAGCCCCAAACCCCCTCCCTCCTCACCCACTACTGTACCCCAGTCAGTAAGGTTACACTCACTGGAGCCCCAAACCCCCTCCCTCCTCACCCACTACTGTACCCTAGTCAGTAAGGTTACACTCACTGGAGCCCCAAACCCCCTCCCTCCTCACCCACTACTGTACCCCAGTCAGTAAGGTAACACTCACTGGAGCCCCAAACCCCCTCCCTCCTCACCCACTACTGTACCCCAGTCAGTAAGGTTACACTCACTGGAGCCCCAAACCCCCTCCCTCCTCACCCACTACTGTACCCTAGTCAGTAAGGTAACACTCACTGGAGCCCCAAACCCCCTCCCTCCTCACCCACTACTGTACCCCAGTCAGTAAGGTAACACTCACTGGAGCCCCAAACCCCCTCCCTCCACACCTACTACTGTACCCCAGTCAGTAAGGTAACACTCACTGGAGCCCCAAACCCCCTCCCTCCTCACCCACTACTGTACCCTAGTCAGTAAGGTAACACTCACTGGAGCCCCAAACCCCCTCCCTCCTCACCCACTACTGTACCCTAGTGGGTAAGGTAACACTCACTGTAGCCCCAAACCCCCTCCCTCCTCACCCACTACTGTACCCCAGTCAGTAAGGTTACACTCACTGGAGCCCCAAACCCCCTCCCTCACCCACTACTGTACCCTAGTGGGTAAGTTAACACTAACTGTAGCCCCAAACCCCCTCCCTCCTCACCCACTACTGTACCCTAGTGGGTAAGTTAACACTCACTGGAGCCCCCAACCCCCTCCCTCCTCACCCACTACTGTACCCCAGTCAGTAAGGTTACACTCACTGGAGCCCCAAACCCCCTCCCTCCTCACCCACTACTGTACCCCAGTCAGTAAGGTTACACTCACTGGA